CTGAATTGGAGGGCATGTGCACTTGTGCACAACATGTGCATTTGGGCACCACAGGTGCATTTGTGCACAGCCTGGTTCCTGCATAAAGGGCTTTTTGATTTAAAAATAGTTTGACAGCATATGCTGTCAGATATATTCTGCTGCCCATTACCCTGCTTTAGTTTAAGAAGTATTAAACCTCGTTTAAAAGAGTAAGTCTGCCAGGGAATGTGATGAGGGGGTTAATACTTAAATAGCTAAGTGGAAACTGAAAAGAAGATAGCACATGGGAGGGGTGTTCTTTTGGTCTAACAGGCTGTTAAAGGGCTGATGTTAAGGCTTATAAAAGGGAAGGACTTCCATCAGTAAAGGGGGGGAGAGCAAGAATACACACACACAGACAGACATTGATAATAACAGAGTGAATTGAGAGGGAACATTTTCAGGAGGGTTGAGTTCTGGAAAAAACAGTAAAAAACTGGAAAAGGTTTCTTTCTGATAACTCAAGTATAATTTCAAAACTGAAGACTGATATTGGATTTTGAAAAGAAAGGAGATAGGGGGAAGGGATATATAGAAAATCAGCAACTGTTTCTTCCTTGTTTGTGTGATTTCTCAGTTCGTTTAACCTGTTCAATCAACTCTGTTTTCTTTCAAGTATCAGCTGAGTTCATTGATGGATTCACATTGTTTGTTTCTCCTGGATTTGATCTGTCTTGGAGTTTTGTTTCTACTGCATTGTTTGCTGCTGTTTTTCTGTCATTTTTCCATCGGCTATAACTGTACCCTGCACTGGGAGTTATTCTATTTGTTACCTGCTGTTACTGTTGCTGTCTCTGTTGCCATTGTCATTCTACTGACTTCCTTTCTTCTTCGATTGTAAGCATTCCCAGGTACACACTCCTGAAACCTTGTTGGTTGAAAGTTTGAAGTTTGAAGCAGAAATAAAGAACTGAACATCTTTTTACTTTACAATACTTGTATTCAAAATAGGTCGAATGTTAGTTTGGCATGTACTTGTTTAATTTCAAACTACAAATACTCTGTATGGGTTAACATACATTCTGATTTGAGACGAACTACTAGATAGCATTTGTTTGTTAGATCGGACGTGTTTTAATGCATACAACCATTAGGTTTT